CAGTTTTTATGTCTTTATACGATAGTGTATAGGTAATTTTTAGTTTATAACAATTGATTTTTGTTGTTGGTAAAATGTATTCATATACTGAATCCGTTTCATTAAGATGAATGTTTTTTTTGGTCATAAAGAGGCAAAGTTTTATTTCGGTGTTTTCTCTTTCCATTATAAAGATTTTTGATTATATATCTTGGGACAAATTTTTGGGATTCACTTGGACAGATAAATTTCAACGTGTGTTGGAGGGCTAACCCAACTCGAAATACAACAACTATCGAGAGCATATTTTCTTTCGGTTTTCGGACCATAGTATGTATCATGCAAGAAACGCATGGTTGTGAAAGACTTTCCAATAAAAGAAAAACGAGTTTATTCTTTTGAAACTTTTCCAATGTTCAACGCTTGAAGAAAAATTAATGTTTAGGAGAGGAAAAATATAAGTTTAACCATATGTCATATCGAAATAAGATATGCAATCTAATCAGTTTGTTGCTAGGGACTTGAGGATATTTGTGAGAAATGGTTTTCCAAAGTGGATTTAGAACTACATGGAAGACTCTTTGGACCGGAAGAATGTTGAGTTTTCCGGCCATGGTTTAAGGTCAAAGTTGAAAAAAATAACGATGTTCGTTTTCGGTTGACTACTATAACATCCGTTTGAAATCATATAAACATGTCATTAATAATAAAACAATTACTTGCTTAAATATTTATTATTTTTTTCCACTAAATTGTTTACCATTTTTGTTTTAAAATTGTAACTGATACCAAGTAAATCCATACTACAAAACTTTTCAAATTTTTAACAAGATTTATTTCAAGTGCGATTCAATCATAATATGAGGTCATTGTGAAACAAGTGGTACAAACAATGTTTGAATGATAAAATAAAATAAAAATAACATGCGGTACGTGAATGGTAAAAAAATGTTTGAAATCAGCTGATCTTTACAGAGGAGATCTTCTCAGAGTATGATGTAGTTGCAAAGTCAGTTTCGGAAGCTCGACAATGGCATTTGGCTGAAGAGTCTTTGCCCCGACGCCCTACACCTCTGGTAGAGGAAAATCGTATCCATAATTTCAATACCGGATTCGTTTGTAACGTGGACGCATCTTGGCACGCTAGCTCCTTCAACTGCGACAACTCCGGTGAGAACTCCCCTGTTTTCTCTGCTTCAGATTCATGGCGCTCTGTTTCCTTTGCACTTGTTGCCGAAACCAGACGAATGATGCCTGCCATGATGTTCTATGCTTTCGACATGGGCTCTTATCGTATCACCATGAGATTCGACTCACAACACTCATCCGACTCCTCAACTCAAACGAGTCTCACACTGATGTTGACGTTCTCCTGGAAGATATTAGAGATCTAATTGGTTCTTTTGAATCTATTTTGTTTCAGTTTATTCCGCGTACGGCTAACACTGTCGCGGATAATTCAGCTAAGATGGCACTTTTGGCCTTTGAGCAGCATGTACCAAACCTTATTATCGTTTAATTGAAATCCAAGTTGCGACCAAAAAAAAAAAATGGTAAAAAATTCAACATAACGATTCGAGATACATATTTTAGATACATAGTTTACAATATGTAATGGATTAATAATAATTGTATGATTATAAATTATTATATATCTGTCCTTTTTGTGGAACTCCCGTCTTGAATAATGAATACACACTATATCAATGTTAAAAAAATTAGATTATCATCAATGTTGAGTCGTTTTTTTTACCTGCTCTGGAATATCGTTGACCTTTAACAAAAACTAGGCCAATGTGGAATTAGAAACCCTGATACCGTACAAGAGACAAAAAAGGTTGAGAATGATAAATATGTAAATATGCTACATTCTATAAAAACAGAGCAACTTAGTGTGTCTTGATCTGCAAACTTGTAAACCCAAATGAGGTAGAATCGTTTATTAGTAGAACATAGTAGTATGTTAAAATGGCCTCTACATTCATCCACCACAACAACAGCTCCAAGTACTCAATCAATGCAAGAGTAAGCTTTAACCTAATCCAAATCATAAATCAAACAAACCTAAAATTCAATTCTATCATCGGAAAATTCAGGTCGAAATTCAATCCGACGATCACGAATCAAACGGTATTAATCCACAAAATCCCTAATTATTGAATTTTTTTTTTTGAAACAATAATTATTGAATTAAGAGATCGAAAATCCCCCCCAAAAAGCAAAGATTAATTGAATTAGAACCTGACATGGATCGGGACGAGAATTGGGAGCAAGATATTGGCTTCCTCCACGTTTCGTTTCTCCCAGTCAGTCGAATTCCCCTTTAATTTAGTTTTCTTTTCATTTTTGAGAAACTAAATATACACATTATATAGCTTCAACAGGTATCATTTGAACGCCTTCTGT